ATGGAAGGCCTCACCATCCAGGGGGAGCAGAAAAGATATGTGACAGATAAGGTTTTAGTGTGGGGGGTGGGTAGGGGAGGACGGGAGGGAGAAGGGAAATGGAATTAGAAACAATCCTGTTTCTAATTCAAATAAAAAAAGTTGGAAAAAAAATAAAATCACAGTGGTGGAGATGACATTCCATAACCTTTCCCATACTGCATGATGACAATAAAACCAGATACCACTTACTCTAAAAAGGAAGAGATTCTACAGAGATGTGAGCGGAGCCAGTACAGGATCATGGAAATTGTCTTAGTGCAAAAATCAACTAGGAGGCTCCAGGAAGAAATACAAAAATTAAAAAGAAGAATTAGGATATATAATCTCTTCTTTTCTTTAGTCCTAATGATGGCTTACGCTACACGTGACTAATTAATACATAATAAGCCTGTGACCTCAATGAGATTTTTGGGCATCCTTTGGCCTCACTTCACATCCTCTGTCTTCCTTAGTTTCTCATCATCCCTCCCAGTGCCCTTGCCTGGCTGCTAGTGTCCACCGCTGTTCTACAGAGCATCTTGTCTGAGAGAGGATGTGTACTGTTTCATCTCCCCTGGCCAGCTCTGCTCCCAAAGCCATATAGGGTATAAGTAGGTGTTTGTAAGATGCACAGGGTAGTGTGGACCTCTCAGACTAAGTGTGAGTGTGAATCTGACATCCTTTAATATTGTGTTTGGCTGAGTCAGAATTTGTCCATATTCAGAGTTGCTCCTGGTAGTGACTGTCTATGCATGGATTCCTGGGCACTGTTACGCCTGGCCTGGGCACTGTCACAGTCAGTCTTTCCTCACAACTGGTATCATCTTTGACCTCTTCTGGCAACCGATCAGTAGACACCCTGCTCTAAACCCCATTTGGAAATTCCTACCCAAATGGCTGAGAAGGGACAGCCTCATGTTTTTCTGAGTGTGTGGTGCTTTAGACTTCTAACACCATTCAGACCTCCAGCTGGCCCAGCCAAGTCTCTTCTGTGAGAATAATTTCCTATTAAGAGCAAGGTTGTTTCATCGCTAATAAACACAGAGCTATAGAGCTAAAGTTGCCTCCCTAATTTCACAGAGTCCAGATGCAAAGAGACACCTTTGCAGAACTGATAAACACAAGAAAGGCTTTCTTCTTTTCCCCTTTGTAGGTCTTTTGACTCTATCTTCAAGCAGAGTCCCAGTATACTCCCACATTTTAGCCCAAGTTCCACAGTGAATATGGCCATGTTTGTTTGCTTTGCCACTCCATGCCGTTCTAAAGACTTGGCCCAGTATTGTTGACAGAGTGTGAAATAGCCTGAATACACCTATTTCCGCTCAACAGTCAGGGCTAGCATTTTTGTGAAGCCATCTGGCTATTTTTCTCTCATAGCCTCTTGCCTTTCCACATAAAACGAGTGGTGACTTTAGTGTTTCTGGAATGTTGTGACATTTCTTCAGTGCTTTCTTTGTTGAAGAAAAAAAATACATGACCCTATTTCTTTAGCACTTCTCTTGGTCCAGAAATCTCAGTGGGTCTGCCAACAAGCCCTGCAGGCTGGCTTGCCCTCTCTCCTCCTCCATCTGTTTTCTCTAATTCTTCACACCTTGAAAATTTCTTGGAAATGTTTTATTATTCACCTCATCTACAGACATAATTGCCAACATGCCCACACACCCAGCCTAGTGTCTCATCATAGAGACTTCTCTGCCTCATAAAAAGCCTCCCACAGCCTCTAGTTCCTTATCTTCTGTCATCAAGAAATCTCCCTGACCCCACCCTTGGCATTCCCTCATTCGAAGTATGTCATTCCCCAACCACCAAGTGAATGATTATTTAATATTTCCCATAAACACACAAGACTCAGTAGGATACTCCTTGCCAAAACCATCGCAAGGTCTCTGTCCTGAAGACCTCACATTCTGATGTCACTCTGGTTGTTATCAACACATTAGGACCGTAACCTCCTCTTGACTCTGTTATCCCAGGGAAAGGCATTGGTTCCAGATTGTTCACAAGGAGCTGTTTATCAGCTATTGAGTCCATGTGCATCAGAATTCAGGTTCTTCCTGGAGCAATGTGCACTAGACAGAGTTGCCCCTCCCAACAGGCTCTCAGCTCCATTTCCATCAGTGAGAGCCCCTGGGCTCAGTGAGTCATCCTTTCTAGGGGTATTAGACACAAATTTGATAAAAAGACAGTATAAGTTGCAGATAGTTTGTTTAACTCTTAATCAGAGAGTCCATAATGCCAGAGTTTCCTAGTTTCTGTCATAAAGACAGATATGCTAGTAGTATATGGAAGCCCTGTTGGATGTATAACTAGGCATTGGATAGCACTGGTGCTAATGTATACAACATGATTAGAAAGGAAAGGGGTTATTTCTTCTTATAGCTTGGAGTCAGTCCATCATCCATGAAGTCAGGGCAACAACTGGAGGCAGAAACTGATGTAGAGGCCATGAAGGAGTGTTGCTTACTGGCTTGCTCCTCATGGCTTACCCAGCCTGCTTTCTTATACTATGCAGGACTGCCAGCCCAGAGTTGGCACCACCCACAGTGAGCTGGGCCCTACCACATCAATCACCAATCAAGAAATTGCCCCACAGACTTGTCCACAGATCAGTTTGGTAGAGCATTTTCTCAGTTGAGGTTTGCTCTGCCCAAATGACACTGGCTTGTGTCAAGTCGACATAAAACTAGCCAGCACAACTAGACAACAAAAAACTTTAGTAACTCCTTCTTCAAATAGCTTGAAGATACAGGTAAGAGAGAGGCATATGCTTTCTAGCCCATTGTAGTAACAGCTTGCTCTGAGCATCATTCTTAATTTCTCAGTCTATTTCCATTTCTATAAATGGGGATCACAATACAGCCCACATGGCTCTTAGCAGAATGAAACACACCAGCAGAACTTGCTGAGTGTCAGGCAGCTAATCATCAGTTCTTCTGTAGTGGCTGATGCCATCTGTACAATCAGAGCTCTTGTTCTCTAAGCTCTTCATATAAACCTGTCACTGATGAGAACTGACCACAGGCTTGCCATAGAAGTCTTACCCTAGGATTGGTGTAGGTTCATAATTTGTTCTTCCACCTTCTTCTTTCACCAGCTTTGGCTAAGGTCTATACAATTAATCAGAAACACTCCAGTTCTAGGCGTGCCTGTGAGATATGGAAGCAGCAGATTCTTGGATGTCATGAACTGATTGAAGACACTATAATAGACCAGATATATGAATACTAGACCTAGGAGGAGTGTAACACACTAGGTCAAAAACACAGTAAATGTTATCAGGAAAATTACAGAAGAAATTTCCCCCAAAATTTAGGAAATTGATGCCTATCAAGGTGCAAGAGCATGCAGAACACCAAATACACAAGACCAAAAAGGAAACTCCTCACATCATCATAATAATAAAACACTAAATTCACAAAGTAGAGAAAGAATTTTGAAAGCTTCAAGAGAGAAAGATTATGCTACATATAAAGGAGGACCCATAAGAATAACATAGATTTTCAATGGATATTTTAAAAGCCAGCTGGTCTTAGGCAAGTGGTTCCCAACCTGTGAGTTGCAACCCCTTTTTGGGGGGTGAAAAAGTCCTTTCACAGGGGTTACCTAGGGAAATTTGTATATCATATATTTATATTATAATTCATAATAGTAGCAAAATTGCAGTTATTATGTAGCAATGAAAATAATTTTATGGTTGAGGGTCACCACACCATGGGGAACTCTATTAAGGGGTTGCCATTAGGAAGATTGAGAACTATTAGCTTAGGCTAAAATGATAGCCCACAAAACTATCAGTAATACCCAACAAAACTATCAGTAATATTTGAAGGAGAAAGAAAAGTTTTTCACTATAAAGGCAAGTTAATAGAATTCATAACCAGCAAGCCAGTCCTATAGATGTTACTGGAAAGAGTATCTTGGACTGAAGAAAGAGATAAGCATATCCAACAGGTGACAGTGTAAAAACAGTAATGTTATATCAGTGATTAAACAGAGGAAGATTAAGAAAACAAACACCACAGCATTAACAAAATAACCGACATCAATACACGCACATATATTCCAATAATGGCGATGAACATTGGATATCTCCTAACCAATCAAAAGACACTGATTAGTTGAATGGATTAAAAATCTGTGTCTATCATTTTTCTACCTCTGAAAAATATACCTTATCACCAAAGATAAATGCCACCTTAGAGTAAAATGATGAGCAAGAAAAATGAATGAGAAAACAAGTAGAAGTTTGTATTTAATATCCAACAAAATAGACTTCAATCTGGGACTAATCAAAAGAGGTAGTAAAAGTCTTTTTATACTGATCAAGGGAATAGTTCATCAAGAAGGCATTATAATCCTAAACATACATGGACCAAACATGAGTGCACTCAAATTAATTAAGCAACAAATTAGCCTCAACACATTAATTGTAGGTGTCCTCAATACCCAACTCTCACCAAAGGACAGATCATCTAGATTTTTTTAAAAATTGAGCTTAGTAATGATGCAGCCAGGTGATATCAAAGATCAAATGTACCTAGCATCTATCTACAGAACATTCTTTTCAAACACAACAAAGTGCACATTCTTCTCAAAAGTCCATAGAACCTTCACTAAAATAGACCACATATGGGACATAACACACTTCCCAACAGATACAAGAAATCGGAAATAATTCCTTGTGTCTTAGTTGACCATGATAGACTAAAAGTAGATAACAACAGCAATAGAAATAATATAAAATACGCAGAGTCATGGATATTAAGCAATACATTATACTATTAAGTGGATCACTGAAGAAATAAATGGGAGAAAATAATTTTTAGAATTAAAAGAAAATGCAGTATAATAAAAATCTGTGAGACACAATGAGGGTAGTCCTAAAAAGAAAGTTAGTAGCTCTAAGCACATACATTAAAAAAAAATCAAAGATAAAAACAACTGAATGATGAACTTTAAGGCTTTGGATAAACGATAATAATAAATATCCTAAACCAGTATGTAGGGAAAAATAACCAAGATCCAAATTAATAAAATAGAAATGAAGACAGAAACATAAAGAATCAATGGAACAAAGAGTTGGCTATTTGAAAAACTGAACAAGATTAACAAGCTCTAAGCCAAATTAACCAAAAGAAATAAAAGAAAACCCCAAATTAATGAAATTAGAGAGGTAAAGCTACTACCACAATCACCAATGGAATCCAGAGGATTAGAAGGACACATTTTCATACCTTTTGAAGTTGGAAATTCTCAAAGAACTGTATGAGCTTTCTGATGTATACGACAAATGAAAGTGAAACAAGGAAGAGACAAAACATTTAAAGAGACAAATCTCAAGCAACAATACTGAATCACTAATAGAAAGTCCCCACTCTTCTCCACCCACAAAAACATGCAGAATCTATCTGACCTCTAAAGAAAAACTGAAACCAGTGCTTCTCAAACTACCCCATAAAATAGGAAAAGAAAATGCTTCCACATCCTTTTTATAAGGCCAGCTTTATGCTGATGCCTAAACCAAATAAAGACACACACACACCCAAAAAAAAGAAAAAAAGAGAGAGAAAGAGGGGGGAAAGAGGGAGGGCAGAAAGGAAGGAAGAAAAATAAAGGAAGGAAGGAAAATTATAAGCCAATCGTTAATCTTCATAATGAAATATTTGTAAATTCATCAGTACATCAGAAAAATAATCTCTCATAATCAAGTCAGCTTCATCCAAGACAGATGAAGGGATAGTTCAACATTCAGAAATCAATAAATAAAATCTGTCACATAAATAGACCCAAGGATAGAAACCACATGATCATTTCATTAGATGCAGAAAAGGCCTTTGACAAAATCCAACTTCCCTTCATGATAAAAGTTCTGGAGAACATGGGGATATGGGGGACATAGATCAACATAATAAAGACAACAGACAGCTAGCTCACAGCTAGCATCATACTAACTGGAGAAACACTTAAGCTTTTCCACTAAAATCAGAAACAAGACAAACATGTTTTATTTTAAGAACTGTTTTGGCTTTCCAAGGTAAGAAGGGAATATGGAGAGGGTCAGCTAACAATAAAGACCTTTGAAAAGCCATATGAAAACATACTACTATAGGGGCTGGAGAGATGGCTCAGAGGTTAAGAGCACTGACTGCTCTTCCAGAGGTCCTGAGTTCAATTCCCAGCAACCACATGGTGGCTCACAACCATCTATAATGAGATCTGGTGCCCTCTTCCTGCCTGCAGGCATACATACAGGTAGAACATTGTATACATAAATAAATAAATAAATAAATAAATAAATAAATAAATAAAATCTCAAAAAAACCTTAAAAAACATACTACTATAGAAGATTTCTAAGATAGACAGATAGATAGGTGGATGGGCAGATAGACCGACAGAAAAAGTTTATATGGAGGTTACCCTACAGCCATGGGGACAGTGCCTCTCCTGATACTATAGGCTGTCAAATAAAAATGCTACCAGCAGGAAAACTACGGTAAAAATAGTGCTGTTCAGACAGGGCAGTTGCTCACAAGCTTATAACAACTGTAGCTACATGTGCAAAACCATACAAGCCTAAGCTAAACAAAATCCCTACCTGGATTGGGGAATTGATGAGTCACAAAGTTTCACTCCTAGATGGGTAGCTAGCTATTGATTGACAGTTGCTGACTGCTGGGTGAGGGAAAGTCAGTATATCCTGCAGGGATACCGCCTGAGAGGCTATCCATGCTCCATGAGATGGTTCTATTCCCATGCACATCCAGGAAGCACCCAGTGGACACAGGATTTAAAGTAAAACCACATGAAATGTGAGGAGATAGTGATGGTAGGGATAAGGAAAGAGTTGAAGGAGAGTGAATGTAGAGGTAGATTTGATCAAAACATACTATATGCACTGATGAAATTCTCAAAATAATAAAAAGGCATAGATGACTAATTTCTTGATTTGTATCATAGTCAACACCCCAGCATTCCTTGTTCCCTGTAAGGCTGTGCTTTGTCATGTTATCTGAGAGTTATACCCAAAAAGATCTTGATCTGTATTCTGTACACAGCATTTTGGGTTGTTGTACAAATTTTATGAACAACTTAGGGAGTCATGTCACTTCCAGTTGATTTTCTTAAAAATTGAGAAATAAGCAATCTTTAAAAGAAAAAAGTATGAGAGCTGAATCTGGTCTCACCTTGGTATATGGATTATTTAAGGGTTAATATCAGCCATGTGGTCTTTTTAGTGTATTTTCATTTCTAAAGTTAATTGGCTACAAAATCAATAATCAATTTTCAAAATGTTCACTGCATACCTAGGTCTTAGCATGAGAAACAGAAAAACGTTAACCTGCTGTCTGCCACTCTCATCTTCATCACCATGATTCATCAGTGGTCACACTGTCATCAGGCCTGCAGCTTGTAAGTCTGCTACCAATTGTAAACAGCAGTCTGAGAATGTATAACATCAGAAATGCACACTTTAAAACTTTAAAACATCCTTGTCTAATGACCAAGAATCAAAGTGATGAGAGAGATTTTAGATTATTCCAGGTACATAATACAAATTCTAGAAAATTTATCACAGCCTCAGAAATTCTCATCAGAAAAATCTCAAATGGCCAAAAGACATTTAAGGAAGTGTTCAACATTTTAAATCATCACGGAATTGCAAATCAAAATGACTCTGAGATACCATCTTACACCCACCAGAATGGCTAAAATAAAAAATACTGAGGACAGCTTATGTTGGAGAGGATGTGGAGTCCCAGTGTTGGTGGGAGTGCAAACTTGTACAGCCACTTTGGGAAATCAGTATGGTTTCTAAGAAAGTTTGCAATCAATCTACCTCATGACCCAGAGATACCACTCTTTGGCATATACCCAAAGGATGCTCAATTATACCTCAAGGACATTTGCTCAACAATGTTCATGGCAGCATTATTAGTAATAGACCCTGGAAACAACCTAAATGCCCCTCAACCAAAGAATGGATAAGGAAAATGTGGTACATTTACATAATGGAGTAATACTCAGTTGTAAAAAATGATGACCTCATGAAATTTTCAGGCAAATGGATGGAACTAGAAAAAAAAATCATCCTGAGTGAGGTAACCCAGTCTCAGAAAGACAAAGATGGTATATATTCACTCATGGGTGGGTATTAGATGGAAAACAAAGGATAACCAGACTACAATCCACAGCTCCAGAGAAGCTAGGTAACAAGGAGGACCCTAAAAGAGACACATGGATTGCCCTGAGAAGGGAAATTAAATGAAATCTACTGGATAAATTGGGGACAGGAGGTGGTAAGGGGGAGGGGGATGAGAATGTGAGGGAACAGGATGGTCCATGGGGAAGAGGGAAGCAGTGGAAGAATAATGAAAGAGATAACTTAATAGAAAGAGTCAGTATGGGATTAGGGAGAAACCTGGTGCTAGGGTAATTCCCAAGAATCCACAAGGAGGACACCAGCTAAGACTCAGAGCAATAGTAGAGGGAATGCCTGAACAGATTGATGAAAACCCTAGTAATCATCATAGAGCCTTCATCCAGTAACTGATGGAACCAGGTGCAGAGATCCAAAACCAAGCACCAGGACGAGCTCCAGGAATCCAGTCAAAGAGAGGGAGGAGGGAATATATGAGCAAGGGAGGTCAAGATCATGATGGAGAAATCTACAAAGACAGCTGAACCATCCTTATGGAAACTCATGAAATCTAGACCAACAGCTGTGGAGACTCTGGGGGAACAAACTAGACCCTCTGCATGTGGGAGATGGTTGTGAATCTTGGACTCACTGAGTAGGCAGTAGGACCAGAATCTATCCCTGGTGCATGAGCTAGCTTATTGGAGCCCATTACCTATGGTGGGATGCCATGCTCAGCCTTAATGCATAGGAGAGGGGCTTGGTCCTGCCCCAACTTAGTGTGCCAGACTTTATTGACTCCCTATGAGGAGGAGTGGAGGGAAGGTCTGGGTGGGAAGTCGAGGGGGCCCTGGAAGAGGGGTGGGAGGGAGAACTGTGTGTGGATGGAATGTAAAATGAAATTAAAGAACTTAAATTATATAAAAAGAAAGGTTCCCCTTATGTCTTACTTCCTTTTTCATGGTGCATGTTAAAACTGTTTCCCCCTCCTTAGGGTGGTAATATGTGTAAATAAATTCATCTAGACTCCAGCCTCCAACGGGAGAGGAGGAAGTACTGAAGTGCAAGAAGGCAAAGATGAAGTGATACCTCTTGATTAAGGGTGAACTCGTTCGAACGTTCTTCCTAGCACTGGAATGTCATGTTCTGTTGTCGTTGCCAGTGCATCCATCCATCTATCTGTGTTTCTGCCTCATGGGCACATTTAGAAGAACAGTCCTTTCTCTGCACCATTTCAGTTTCTTCAGAAAACACACATATATGGTAATGCATAACATTCATTATACACAGCAGAAGCCAAAACCTTTTGCCAGAGTGGCCTTCAAAAATTTTACACCTATTTCATGCATTAAAGGGGAAATGTGCTTCATGTGCTTTTACTTACTTTGTGATTAGCTCAATAGACTTGTGTTCTGTAAGGACAGAAGCCAAAGCCTTGGTCTCTCAAAACCTTTCCTTAGCCCTTGGGGCATCCTTCTCTTCTTGCATTGTTTTAAGAAGTTTGGTCTCACATACCCTAGGAGGGAAAATCATATTCAAACTCACTAATGCTAACTTGCATCTGTGAGGGTCTTTAAAATGTAGAGTTCTCGCATACTCTTATTTGATACTCACAGGCCTTCAATGTGGTTATTAGGATGGGCACTAAACTTCCCATTTCAAAGTTATGGGAAGAAAGGCTTCCAAACTTACTCCAAAGTCCTCAGCAGAGCCTGGTCTTGAACCTAAGTTATATGACTCAACTCAAGTTATACTTTTTCCAAGATGCCTGGGATGCTGTTTACATAGAACTTTAATATGATCTCTGGCTGACCTCACCTGTGTGTTGTTTCTCCTGCACTGTCCCTGAAGTTTTAAAAATCAAATTAGATAGCATGCTTATGATCATAATTTTGTAGATGTAATTAAGGTTCCAAGTCAGTTGACCCCAAGATTAGTGGTTGTCTGGATAGGTTTAACCTGATCAAACCAGTTCTTAAAACCTGTATCTCGGGATCAGACACAGGAATTCAATGAGAGGGAACACATTTTTAAAAAGTTTGTATGTGAGCTTGCTCCAAAGCTTCTGGCTTTAAATATGGAATATAGACATTGTCTAGAAACTCAGTGAGACCCCACCCATTACAGGCAAGCATCAGTCTTGCAACC